GTGCATGCTGTTGTAAAGCTTCTTATTTACCTCTGCTCTCTGCCACTTCCAGCCGAGTCAGGGGAAAGAACTCACACAGGCTCTGTACACAAGTCTACTATTTAAAAGTATGCGGAAAAGTACAACTAGATATACTTTTAAAAACACTGGCTTACTCGATCGACCGCACTGAGGCAGACGCTTCCCAAATTCAGCTCCGCTGACGTCTCTATTACCCCCTCTTCAAATTGTTTGCTCCTACCTATTTTCCGCACTCGGGCTTGATCGTAGTTTTTTTTACCCTGGGGTTCACTTGTAGCCATCGCGGTTGCCTACATCTTCGACTTGACCCGCATGACAGGTCGTGTGGCGCCCGAGCGACCGACTGTGTTCCGCTTTGGGGATCAGTTCTGTTCTCCGACCCAAATGTATCCAGTAGTATGTCCCACTGGTTCTTGAGTGTTTTCATGCCACGGTCGTAGATGCTTGACGTGTCTGGTCCACGTGTCGTTTCCGACCATTATTTCATAAATAACCTTACCTCACTTACCCGTAACCGTTCCGCTAGACATCTTCCCGAGCTCTGGAAGTTTCGTGCATACAACAAGTCGCCGATCTTGAACCCACGAAGTCTATTATCCTGCTCTCACGTTTGTCCGTTGCGTTTTTCAACACTTCTGGGGATCAGTATATCAAATGTCGTTCTAATTTTTCGTCCAACTAGACATTCAACAGGAGATTTGCCCTCCGGTGTGTTTGGATTCGGAATGTTTAAATACATGCTTAAACCGGCTGAATTGCATCTCGTGGCACCCTCGTTCCTACCGCTTTGAGAAGAACACGTTTACAGGTATCTACAAACCGTTCGGCCTGCCCATTCGATTGTGGATGGTACGGCGGCGAAAACGTTTGCTGGATTCTGTTTTGCATGCAAAATTCTCTGAACAACGTTGATGTGAACTGTGCTGCGTTGTCCGTAACTAGCATCTCCGGTGTGCCAAAATACTGGAACAGTTTGTTTAGGACAGTGATAGTGTGGTTGGCAGGGAGATTTTACATAGGAATCACGTCGGGCCTTTTTGTGTAGGAATCAATAAAAATCAAATATGATTGATGGTTGGTTGGTTCCGCATAATCCAAGTGGACTCTGCCAGGACTTCTCCGACTCGGGCCAAGGTTGCCACAGACATTTTGAAGGTGTCTTTGCCGCTTGCTGACAAGATTCACAACTTTGGTAAAGCTGTTCGATTTCTGAATCCATTTGAGGCCAATACACAACTTCGTGTCAGTGTCTTCGTTCTGCGGGTTCCTGAATGAAACTGCTGCAGTATCCGCTTCCGCAACTTCCTTGGTACCACGACTCGGTCTCCAAAAATTAGACTATTGCCAGTGACCGAAAGAGATCCGCGTCGATTAAAGAAAGGTCGTAACTCAGTCGAAATTCTGACATTAGGCCAACTGGACGGCACAAACCTTATCACTTTCAGCAAGCTCTCGTCTTGAGCCGTCTCTGTACGAACCTTGTCCGCAGTTACTGGCAACTCCCTTACAATGTCAACCAGGATCCGCTGAACTTCCGACTCGAATTTGACAGATGCGATCACGCAGTCATCGTTTTCCTTCGAGTGGGAACTGATGAAGCGAGATAGTTCGTCCACTTTGCCGAGTTGTTGCCTAGATCGGTATTGTATACTGAAATCGTAAGCCATAAACACGGTTGCCCATCCCTGTAACTGACTTGCTGTGAGAACAGGAAGGCCCTTCTTTGATACAAATATTGATAGTAAAGGTTTGTGGTCCGTGGTCAGTTTGAAATGTCTACCATATAACATCTTATGAAACCGTTTCACTGCGAAAACAATCGCCAACGCTTCCTTCGCAATCTGGCTGTAATTTTTCTCCGCCACTTCCAGCGACCGTGCTGCGTGCTCAATGGCCTTCTCTTCTCCTCCTGGAAACACGTAGGAAATGACAGCACCTACCCTATAATTGGAGGCGTCCGAAGCAACAACAATCTCCAAGTTTGGGTTGAAGTGGGTCAAAAGTAAATCAGGACTAAGCGTTGTCATAACTGTATCAAAGGATTGTTGGCACTCCTTTGTCCATCGCCATTCTTCCCCTTTCATCAGCAACTCATTCAGAGGACCTCTAGTCTGATGTAGACTTGACCGGAAGGCGCTATAATGGCTTATAAGACCGAAAAATGAACGTAGTTCAGTTACATCCCTTGGTGGTGGCATCTACTTGACAGCTTCTATATTAGCGAGATCCGGACGTCAGCCATGTTTGTCAATTGATGAGCCCGAGAAACTTGACACTTTCCATCAGTAAATTGATTTTTTCCACCTGTAACCGGACGCCAACTTCTTCTAGACATGAGGACACTTTCTCTAACGTGGCCAGCAAACTTTGTGGGTCAGACCCCATAAACAATGCGGCCCCGGGGATATCGTTCAGCAGCGTATCCATGATTTGTTGAAAAATGGCAGGAACGGTTTTCACTCCGAATGGCAACCGATTGTACTGGAAAAGTCCAAGATGCACGTTGACCGTCAGTAATGTTCTGCATTTCTCGGCTACTGAAACTTGTAAGTAAGCATCAACTAGATCGAACTTCGCAAACCATTTACCACCGTTAAGCCTGGTAAACCAATCTTCAGGCAAAGCATACTGATGATTCTCCAACATGGAATTTAAGCCGGTTAAAAAGTCAGCATAAATACGTACCCTGCCGTTTCTTCACCACAACGATGGGTACTACCCATTCTGAGTACTGTACGCGCTCGACTATGCCTTCCGACTGCAGACAATTCAACTCAGACTCCACTATTGGTTGGGTTGCGTACGGCACTGGACGTTTTGGTCTAAAAACTGGTCTGGCGTCAGGTTTGAGGTTCAGCTCAGCTCTGGCTATGCGGTAGCATCCAAGATCGAGTTGAAACTAATTTTCGTGGCATCGCTTCAGTTTAGCAATTTGACTGTAAAGTTCGCGGTTCATATTCGGCGTCTGTGTTAGTTTATCGACTTGTAATTTCTGGCATATACTATTAACCGACTGGCCAAGTAAGTTCAATTCCTCCATTCATCCGAGACCCAGCAAATTCAATCCTGGTTGCTGTCATAAAACAGCTTGTACAAATGTGCTCATCGCGGAAACTAACCTGACAATGCAACTCTCTAATTTCAAGATGCTCCCGGATGCGTTTCGTGCTGTGTTCTGTGTGGACAAGCGGTGGTCGTCCCAGCATACACCATGTACCTCGACAAATCCAGGTGATGTCTGACGTAGTATCCAGTTGCAGCCTAACTTCTTTATCACTGATCTTCAACACTGTAAACTTACGCCTGCTGACGCCGTCAACCTTGAAAGCCACCGTCACAGTTTTGGTATCGTCGTGACATCGGAAACTCACCGGGATTCGACGCCGTTTTCCGCTCACTGTCGGTCGCTTCGCACGACAACACGACTTCTTGTATCCTCGCTTACCACCTCGATTGCAAATGTGATTCGAGTAAAGTGCCATTCCCTGCAAAACCAACAAACAGAGGGGGGTTTAGAATGTGCTGAACTCCCATGAACCGATTCTTTCTGAGAACTTCGACGGACCCTGCAAATGATGTCCTAGCTACTCGGGATGGATGATTGTTGAATCATAACACCACCATGCTTCAAGTTTGTCCACTTTTGGCATTCGTTCGTCACTTCCTGCAATGTGTCCTCGGGATTTTGTTCAATTCTTCTCAGTGTTCTTGTTCGAACATCAGCATCTTTGGTCGCTTGAAGACCACAAACATAAATAAGGCACTTGTACTGATTACCTGTCATCTTGTGAAATAGCGACCGTTCACACTCGCGATTCACGCGAGTCGAGTAAGTAACCCAGTCTCAGTCGTCTCGCTTGGTCATTGTCAGGCATCTGTATCGGATATTGAATAGTGCCGACTGCTCTCAAAATATTTGCGACAAAGTAGCAACCGCTTTATCGAATGTTAAATCAGTGCTCTTTTTCGGTAAGATGAAATTCATGAACTTTCCATGCACGGCCGCGCCTAATTTCCGCAGCATGAGGCGAAACTCTCTTGTCCTCTGAGACACCCAGCTAAATAAACGCGAAACAAGTCTTCGTATTTATGGATTCATAATTCAAAAGTAATACCTGCATCGGCATCGTAACGGAACTCACAAACTTGCTGGGTCAATATTTCTGATATAGGGCCACTTTCACTTGCTCCTGTTACCCAGCCTGCTAGTAGTGACAAAATTTTGGTCAGCGTTTCGATCAGCCTGGCCTGTGTTTGCTGTTGCTACAACAGAGCCTGTAGTTGTTCAAAACTGACTGACATCTTTGGGTTCTTCTGACTGTTGTAAGCCTCCTTTACCTCTGCTCTCTGCCACTCCCAGCCGAGTCAAGGGAAAGAACTCACACCGGCTATGCACACAAGCCTACTATTTACAAGTATGAGGGAGAGTACAACTAGCTGTGATTTTTAAAACTCGCTGGCCTACTCGATCGACCGCACTGAGAATTCCCAAATTCAGCTCCGCTTACGTCTCTATTACATGCCAGCCATGGTATAGTGTTTGGCAATATTGCGGCTAGTTGGCCAGGTCCTTGTGATAATGGGATCCAGCGCGCCATGCTGTGTCTCATAGTTGATAAACCCTACCGAACCGAAAATAGCCTCATTTCCATTGATTCGCTTCTCACGTGAACGTTTCCCATCACCGGGTGACTCATCCGGGAAGTTTAGTACTAATTGATTGAAGGTTTTCACATAGCATTTTTTGACCTTTTTCAAGGATAAGGGCAGCGGTAAACAACTCCCAATGAGAAACAGCTTCTACCGTGTTATGTAAGACGTTTAGGCTGTCAACTGGTTAATTGCCACCGTCTTTCAGCGACGATCGCTTACATACATTTGGTGTAGGCTTCCTCATGTTTTTGACACTGGAATACATTAAAGAGTGCTGACACTGCCTGTCATTCGCTGATTAAAGGCTTTTTTCCGTCTCTTTCTAGATCATCGCGAGTTCGGGACTTTTGGAACCAGGGGATCGAACCACTCCAACAAATCAAAATATTCCTGAAAATGATGTTGGAAATCCTAGTTCTACTTCTATATATAACGGTCCGACACATCCTCCCCTCGACTCTGATTCCATCCTCAGTGCAAATGGCTCTTCGAGCAATACCGCTGCCACGTCCAATTCTGTATGCAGTTTCCACAGTACTGAATCAACCTCACTCATGAAGCTACCTGCACCGGTCCATGGATTGGTGGACTCCTAATTTGGATGATCTACACGTATATGCCATTTGCTTGCGCATAGCGTTTCTTGTGGAAGGAAAACATGCTCGTTGCCTTGGTAATTTTATCTAGTTGATAGATTTTCCAAAACTTGCTTTGCGAACTGTTGTTGGGCTTGTTTTTGTGCCCTTCTGATATCACTTACTTGCTGTTTCAGCGTTTTAGGTTTTAATTCGATGCTTTTTTTGCTTCCCTTCATTTCGCATACCTGTACTTTGATCTACAGTTTGCATAGTGATCATCTCTTCTCTATCGCTGCACATAACTGCGCATAACCGCTCTCATCCAGCTGGAGTCTTTCATCATTGTAACTTTCACCCAATTTTTCTTCAGGCAGTATTTTTCTTACGCAATCGACTGCAGTGAATTTGATTTTTCATTCATCATCATTTTCATCACAACTACCACTTTGATACTCTTTGCTTACAAAGCGCATTTTTACTGCTACTGCGCCTGCCGAACTATTTGGGACACGTCTTATTTCGTTTGCTGTTCCCTCTACTCGGCGCTGTTCCGAGTTTTTCTCTCGAGGTCGTATTGTATCTCGTTTACTAGCACGTTGTGGACATAATTGTAGGCCGTTCACTTGCATGACGTTTTGCATAGTCCAGTGTACATAACTGCGTTTTCACGTATTTGTAAAGTCTAATCACGTAGCACGTGTTTCTATCCAACGGGTCCTGGAAACCTCAAATGGCGCAGTGATGTACTATATTATACATCTTGAGTAAAGGACACCTGGTTGCTAGCCCCACTACCTTCGTTTTGATCTCCTTCACAATCCTCACACACATATGCGGCATGTGCATCAGAAGTTTTTGAACACAAGTGCATGTGTGTGTGCATTGTTTGCATGCAGTTAGACTACTGGCCAACTGATGCTGCGGTACATCGACTGACGTCTTTCAACAGATCGCCCAGCACTACATTGAATTATTTTGCCTATCACTTGCTCGCGACCGTGTGTTGTTTATTGATATGGCACTTGTTGAGCGCCACTGTACCAAACGCTGACTTAATAGCTTTGACTGTCTCTTGAACAACCGTTTAGAGATCGGTTAGCCTAAAGCAGAACCATGTGAAAGCGAGTCTGGTGGACACGCCGACACTGGATGAGACGCAGAGAGCACTTGCTCAGCTGCGAAACGGCAAGTGTGTCAGTGCCGACGGGATCTCGCCTGAAGTATCGAAACCCGGTGGACCCGCGTTGTTGACTGCGCTGCACCACTTGGTGCAACGCGTGTAGATTGAGGAGGAGGTGCCTGCTGAGCTGAAAGATGCCCTTGTGCTACCACTGTACAAGGGCAAAGGTAGCAAGCAATGTTGCACGAATTATCGTGGCATCAACTTGCTGAGTTATGGGGGCAAAGTGATTGCCCGAATCCTGCTCAACCGCCTCGTGAGTCAGGTTGTGGAACCTAACGTGGCGGAAGAGCAATGTGGATTCCGTTCGGGTCGCAGCACTATAGATATGGTGTTTGCGGCTCGTCAGTTGCAAGAGAAGTGCAGAGAACGACACCAGCCCGTGTAATCGCTTCTTGTTGATTTCACCAAGGCATTTGATACGGTGAACCGCGAGGCATTGTGGCTGGTGTTGGGTAAGTTTGGTTGCCCGCGTAAGTTTGTACGTTTAATTGAATGGCTGCACAGTGGTATGCGAGCGAGAGTGCAGCTGAGTGGAGAGACCTCGGATGACTTTGCAGTTGTCTCTGGTGTGAAGCAAGGCTGTGTCTTAGCTCCTGCCCTGTTTAATATATACCTTCATGCAATGATGTCTTGTGCTTTTGATGCGGCTTGTTCTTACGGTGTTCGTGTGAACCACCGTATTGATGGTGGATTGCTGAACATCCGTCGTTATGATGCGAGAACTCGTCTGTGAGACAACTATCCGTTTGTTGCTGTTTGCGGTCGACTGTGCGTTGTTTGCACACATCACGGATGAGTTGCATTACATGACTATTGCTCTGGCTTCGACAGCGGCCAAATTCGGGCTCACCATCAACAAAAGCAAAGCTGTCTGTCTCTTTCAGACTTTACCGAAGGTGCAATTTTCAATATTGCCGCGAATCAGCATTGGAGCAGAAGTATTAGAAACCACCTTCCGCTTCTGCTATCTTGGGAGTGTGATGTCGACTGACTGCTGCGTATTCGCGTGTCGAAGGCAGCGGCGGCATTCGGGAAGCTAGACTACCGAGTGTGGAACAACCATCAGCTTACCATTGACACGAAGCTGATGTTGTACAAATCCATGGTGCCGTCCATTCTTCTATACGGCAGTGAAACGTGGACGATGTACCGGCGCGATGTGCGATATCTCGAGCGGTTCCATCAGCAGTGTTTACGACGGATTCTGCGCATCGGATGGTGCGACAGAGTTGCGGACACGGAATTGTTGCATCGAAGTGGGATGTATGCAATAGACTGCATACTTTTACGGAGACACCTGAGGTGGCTCGGTCATGTGAGCCGTATGGATTCAACGCGGATACCGAAACAACTGTTATATGGTCAGCTGAGTATTGGGAGGCGGCATGCGGGGAAACCGAAGATACGTCAACAGGACATGATTAAAGTGAGCCTCACACGTTCTAATCTTGATTGAAGGTCATGGGAATCTAAAGTTGTTAATCGGCGTGCATGGCGCGTTCTGATCACGAAGGCCGTTGCCGAGGTGCAAGGAAAGCCTTCGTGCATGCAAAGAAGCAAGAATTGCGGAAGCGACAGACGTTGATAGGTTGTACTCTATTGACAGCGAGCGCGTGATGCTGCGGCATATGCGGTCGCAAGTGCCTGAGTCAGGCAGGCCTAGTGAGCCATGAGCGAGGCCACTCGGGGCCACCACCAAAACGACGACGGGTTCTGCAGAGAACGTAGGCAAAACCGGCGCAGCGTTTGTAGGTACGCTGCATTCGATTTACTAACCGCTTCGTTGCATGCTGTGTCTCATTGTTTTAGGTAGTGGGTTTGCAATTTTGTCCTGATGCTTATTTATCCCATATTAATGTCGACCTGAACTATCTTCTATAAACCTACACACGTCGCTGAAGCTAATTATAGTTAACTTCGATAACATTTTCGCGTTTGTGGCATTTTCTTCAGATATATTTTCTGCCGTATTGAACCCTTTGCGCGTTTTTGCAATCAGTTTATTCCATAGTTATGATATATATATGCCTTAATTATAGTTTCGACTTCCCATTCATTGTGTACAATTTTGAAATGCGCCTTATTATCCAAACTACCCTTTATCCTTCACATTCAGACTTCTGTAGGTATTCCTCACTACATATATGGTTGGCGGTATCTGGTTTCGGATTTGCCTGTCACTGTGGCCAGCCACAGGACGCCTGCGTCTACAGAGGGACCATGGGTGGCTTGCGCTACACCACCCACAGCTCCATCCACACACCACATATCCAGTGTAAACCCGAAGGAATAAGATCAGGAGACATGCGGATGGGAGCCACATTTCATCAACGGAGCTGGCCCGCACTCCTTCAGCAAGCAGAACAGGAGCTATCCGGCCTAATTGGGAAATCATGCACACCAGACGTACACATGGCGGTGGCTGGACCGTAGCCCGTTCCACACAGAATGGAACCACTCTTTGAGCCTAGCACCGTCATGAGGACGGTGCACTCCATCGCCTCCAGCAACGACCAACTGTATCCTGGTGCCAGTATGGACGAGGTAGTGGGTAATAGACAGGTAGGCACCTTGTCAACATGCACATCAGGCGCAGCCACACTGGGGAGAGCTCAGACAACATCTTCTGAAACGCAAGATTACTCAGCACTCAGACAAACGTACCACATACGCCGCCTTATTGGTCTGGATTAGTTAATCGAATGGGAGCCTACGCATCGTACTTCTATTCCGCGTGCAATAATGCCTTCTCTTGCACCTGAGCAATCCCCTTTTGAGCAGTCCACGGAATTCGCATCGATCAAATTTGCCTTGGATTCGCAACATCTGAAATCAACATGAGTTTGTTACAAACTCACCTTCATATTCATGTTATGTTGCTTTCCGTTTTCTCGGGTGCCGCTTCCATACACTAAGTTGGCCGTACAAAAGCGGTATGCGTATCCTCGTCGAATTCAATATATATATATATATATATATATATATATATATATATATATATATATATATATATATATATATATTGGCGTCATCCGTGTGCATTGGCAGTTCGTATGCAACATATGCATATGCGTTTATCCAAACTTAAGTGTGATTTGCCAAAAACTGGATAGATACACATTCGACCTCATGATCATTGGTACTACAAACGTGTCTGGGTTTTGTTTGGAGGTCAGACTAACAGCCACTTTCGCAGGCATGACAATGAGTACGTAATGCGAACTGTTGATATTTTCTACAATATTTGGGCGTGACAGCCTTAGGTCTTGGGCATCTCTATTGGAAGGAACCCGATATAGGAATAGTGAACCAACTGCTAGGTAGAATGATAAATAAACCAGTGGCACAGTAAAATAATGTCACTTAGGTTTTGCCGTCTATATGTACCGTCTGGTTTGCGTAGCTGATGGGGGAGATCGCACAGCATGCGATGGAGTGTCCACTCCTGGCTCTCTGTGTCGCCGACCGGTTCGGTCATCTGCTACCCGAGGTATGTGCAGTTACTCAAAGAACGACAGGTGACATCAACTAAGTCCCGCTGCCCCCTGTCAAACATGCGACTTTCCAAACAGTGTTCGCATTGTTTTGAAAATGTCCAAGTACTCAACCGTTTGTACATACTGATGTGTACTCTGCTGTGACCATAAGCTATGTGTTAACAATCTGTATCGTGCGTCTCGGGTGCAGCCATTCGGTGCTCGTAAAACGATTGTCGCTATGCGCCGATTCCTTTCCAATGTAATATACTAAAACACTGATGTACCATTCCCGTTGGATTTAACCTTCCATCCAAAAGATTGTCCATAGGCAATGCAACTTCTGGTAGGCTTCCGCTTTCCATCTGCTTAGTAGGTGCGTTTTCATAGGCTGCGGTAAATTCCTTATGGCTGATGAACAACTGGAGATATATCTGTGCTCACTCTCATCACTAACCTACGGAGCGGAACTAGAACTGTCTACATCGTGATAATCGCTAGTCGGTTAATTGTCGGGATTGTTCTCTTGCCACAGAATTTCCTCGGAAATTTCCCTTCGAATGCATAGTCCAACTTGGTCACACGAGGGACAGTCGTTGAGTATTGTGTTCCAAATGTTAAACTTTATACTTTAGGCATACTGTAAGCGGCCAAGCGCTGGTTACCTTTTGATTCAAGCGTATCCATTGAACTGGAAACATACTCAATAATTTGCCACCCTAGCATTGATCCATATCAAGCACACAATTCGCCGAAAACACCGCGCCCCCGACAAATACGAATGAGCTCATGGATGGACTGAACCATTATTCTGCGATGCACCGGCTCTCTAAGCGTCTTCCTAGTTATAGCATTGGGCAGCTTGTCAAGCTATGGTTATGTAATTTACGAATCGATTTCAAGGAGCAGAATGTCTGATGAGTAATACCATGGAGCTTACATTAGTGATGTAAATCGCGGCCGAATAATAATACGAAGAGAAAGATACCGTAGCTCACCGTCTTGGTATGTCACCATACTAGACTCCACTTGAGAAGGTAGCAAGAATAGCATAGCATAGATCATGATGAGTACAACATTGTAATGAGCAACACGTGAAGTCATCGCTAAGTACAACCGAGTTATATAATCCCAATAAGGGTAGTTTATATGTGCCTCATCCGTTCTAGGCAGGTGCAATACTCATATTGTGTTGCACCAAGTCCCACGTCAGTGGTTAATCATTCTAGAATAACGGTACCCAAGCGCGACTTGCATGCGGGATATAGAATAAGGATGGCACAAACAAAATGACGGAGATGTCGCAAGCAACTTTTCATTTTAGCAGGGAACTGGTGCGATTATGTCCACTGCAGTCTATCCGTGTCGGAAGGAAAAAACCAAAGCCGGTCCGGTCGTGTCT